GGACAGTTTAGGTAGGATTCATTGGGGGAAGTGAGATTGGCAACAATCTTGAAAAATGAGAGGAATTTCAAGAAGGAGTGAAGAGAAAGGTGATTTCAGGAAACGAAATGAATTTAGTATCTAGTGCGTTGACGTTGGGATTCTTACAGATAGCTGGCAAAATTGGTTAATTTAGAAAAGTCACACTAGAATAGGTTGATTATTATTTAACAAATACTAGGAACCAAAAGTATAGGAATAACGTGGATAGACTGGTTGGCCAAGAAAAAAAATGTAGCATGGTAATAGGAAGTGGTGGGGAACAAGAAGACTGAAAGCTAGACATGAAGGGTTGATTTTCAAAGGCAGAGAAACAGCAAATAGAGATGTAAAAAGCCAGTAGTATTAGGAAAGACGGACTTGCTCAAACATGTCAACACAGAGGCTGGAGGCCAGAGAAAGCCACTCAAATTGAACCCGAGAAGCAACACAGTGACATGTGAAGTCTTAGAGGTCAAGACACACCTGGGTTCAGATGTCCCCTCTAACCCTACTGGTTGTGTAGACTTTTAACAAGACACTGTCTCTCTGTAATTATAAGATTCCAAAACAGAAATTGTAGCATCTGCATTATGAAATGTTACAGGTTTGAAAAGACTAATGCATGTAAACCACTTAGGAAATTGTCTAGAAAATGACACACCCATGTTACTCCAGGAAAATAGAAATAAGTCAATGCAAATTTAATATCAGAGAAAATAATAGAACAATCATCAAATTACTTTCCATCACTCAGAGGAGTCCTAGATACTGTGTAAGAATTCAAGTTAGATTTCTGAACAAACAAATAATGTCAAGGCCGGGCCAATTTGATTTTCTTTCTTTGAAGAATATTAGACTGTCTAGGTAAGAGGTAAAAGACTGAATATAGCTAAAGTAGCTGGGATATTGTCTGTCTTCATGACTAGGCTGCAAGAAATTGTTTAGACCAGCATGTCCCCAAGAGAGTAGTTCATAAAAATTTATTAAATGTTCCATGAAACAAGTTTGGAGACTAAAGGGTAAAATGAGTTACTTTACTCTAACACTTCTTAAATGTTTTTAACAAAGCAATCTGACTATCTAGAGTAAGTATAGTACACAGCATTTCCTAAACTTTATTTGAGCATAGAATTCTTTTTAAGTGTTACAGAACACTGAGAGGTGTAAGAGAAGTGTACATGTATATTCTATTATCATTGCTGAAGTTATGTTTGCTACAAGGTGATCATTAAGTTTTGTCATCTATATGTAAAATGTGTTATGTATTATTCCGCAGGGTTTACAGATTACTAATTAACATTTTTATTCATTAGATGGATAACAGGAATAGAGACAGTCATGCTTAAGCATGATGTTGGAAAGAGTTGCTATTTACTTGGAAGATAAAATGACATTCAAAATAAAATTGTATTTTAGGAATATAATGAAGACCTATCAGGAAAAGAAGAAGCCTCTTTTACAAAACATGAACTATGTAGAAAAATTTTAAAAAGAAGATTTTTTGCATATGCATATATGTTTTCAAGACCAAGAAAATACATTGGCTTTTTAATACAAGCACAACTAATGAAACAAAATCACCACAGAACTTCATAATATTCTGGTTTGGTCAAGCGTTCTGTAACAAAAACAGTGAATGTAGTGAATCTTGCCGACTGGAGATGGTTCTATTTTAGAAGGTTGATGTTCTATATATTCTTCCTCAGCACTGCACGCTCCATGTAAAACAGCCCTTGAGTTCCTATGGACTTCTGGACCTCCAAAGTCCCAAGACTTCCAGCAAGAATCCGATTTGGGACACCCTTGATCAGTAGGACAGGTGTCTTTAGAGGAGAATATTGTAACTGCTTGATTCAACGAAAGCCTTTTATTTTCTTTGTACTTTTGTGGTGTTGGACAGAAACTGACCTCCTATCCAAAAGTTTCCTTGAGATTCTGCTAAATTTCAAGATCATCCAGTGACAAATGGCATTCCTGGGACACGGAGGGGCAGGGTGTTAGAAGATCAGCAGGTGTAGTCCCTCATTTCTCACTTCTTCAGCTTGACGTGTCCTGTGCCTCTGTGAGGATATATTTTTGCATGTGCACATTTGTGCTTGTGCTAAGAAAAAGCTAACATGAAAGTAGAATCATAAAAGTTCAGGAAGCCTTGTGTGCTTGGTGCTTTGCTGGAAGTACCACACTAATGAACTGAATGTCTTCTAGGACAGGCAGCCTTATAAGAGCTGAGAAAACACTGTGTCTCATAAATAATGGAGAGAATAATGGATGACAATTAACCTGGATAAGGTATGAACCTGTGGTCAATATAGTTCTTTCACTACTTAAAAAAATACAGCAAAAGTTAGGAAGCAGACAATATTGATATTAAGAAACAATTTTGGTAACAATAAAAACTGTCCAGTAATGGACCACAGTGCCTTATGAAAAAAATACTAAAAATAAAATTATTTTTGAACATTCATTTTGTGACAGGTGTTATGCTAAACATAGTAACCATGCACTGGCTTAAGTCAATCCACTCAAAATCCCTATGAGGTAAGAACAGTTGTTATCCTCATAATATGGAACAAACACAATATTGAAGGTAGCTTACTCTTTCAAGGTCATACAGCGAATAAATGAAGGTAGGGAAATTTAATCCTGGGACATGTGCACCAAATTACTAAATTACTTGCAGCCATTTCTGGGATATTTCAAGCACAGTCTGATGTGTTGGAAATTTTGTGGATTTCAAGATGTTTCTATTGCAGATAATTTCTAAAATCTGTCATCAAATTTTTTCATACTAGTGACTGAAATATTGACATGAACTCCTTTAAATACTAGATCCATTTCTTGGTCCATCTCTTTCTCACACTTGTGGTGTATGCAGTAATTGACATTCTATACAAAAGTTCCCCTGGCTTCTTGAGATTTTGTTAATAAATGGCACTTCTAGGACATTGAGGGGTGGATGTGGAAGCACCAGAGACTAGAGTTGTAACTTTTTCACTGTTTTAGCTTGACAGTTCATGTTAGGATATGACATAGTCCATGCCTCTGTGAGGATATATGTATATGTGTGTGCGTACAGGTACGAATATGCTAAAAAACCACACATATGTGTTGTTCTGTTTTAACAGAGATGTTTAAAGCCAAGAAATCTGGAGGAGTTTAATAGAAACTAGAGGCTGGATGAGCGACTGCACCTACAACGTAAATCAAAGGAAGCTGCATTCTTTTAGCTGGGGACTGAGTTGTTGATCTTCAACATGCAAAGCGTTAGCAGTGTGCAGATTTCCACTGAGAGTAGAGCAAGAAGTTCATGCTGTGAGAAAGCTTTGACTGACACAAGAATGTGTTCCCGGGAAAATGTTTTGAAATAAACAAAGTCATTGAAAGACAAGTTATGGCTGGGAGAACAAGGACATGAATAGAAGAATAGAAGCCAGCGCCTCCATCAGCACCCTATCTCAGCTGCATCTCCGGGGCCTGGCATGTTAGCTGCCTCGAGCAGGAGCCAGAACAAACGTGTTAGTGAACTTCATTCTCTGTCTTCCTGCACTCCTAAGGAATGCAGCAGAAAGTGAGAATGAAATCTGAGCATTTTCATTTTGGGAAAGCTTTAAATTTGGTAATTGTGATGATAGGGATTCTCAGGTAGCCAGCCACAGACTACTACAACAAATAACCTTGTGGGATCTCTTTCCCATACGAACTTGTGGCTCTCAACAACTGAGGAAATTGCACAGAATCTCCATTAAAAAAATCACCCCGGAAAATCAACATTCCTCTTCAGCTTGAGTGAGTTAATTTCAAGAGGGAGAAGCCAGTTTTTTCCTTCAACGGAGAAAAACACTGCACACTTTTACAGAGTTTTTTTTTTTTTTTTTTTTTTAACCTTTTGAAGGATTTTTTCTGCTTCACAGAAATTTTATCATAATTTCATGACCCTCCACTTCATGGCTTGTTACTTGGTCCATTACTCTTACACTTAACTTGATAAAGTCCTGGTTTCTGTGATATTAGATTTTAGGTTTGGTTTCTCGCAGCTGCTGCTTTGAAGTACATGATAAGATTCTTAGCCTTGCACAGAGCCAGTGGCTTTTCAAATTCCCATTGTCCTGTGTTCATTGTACTGCTGTTCCTGCTACTTCTTCTTGCGTGGGTATATGCTAACCTTGCCTTTTGAAAGAGGGTTAACCTTAGGCTTTTGCAGGTAGCTGATCATTCTATCCACAGACTTGGGGCAAATCATTTGGAAAATAATCACTTTTCTCCTTGAGTCTGATCTCCTTTGGATATTTATGGATTTCAGCAGGGCACACATATGAGCAGTAATATGGCATCTCAAATGACTTCTGCGAACACATCTAATCCTGTTTTCTTTCATGTTTACACAAAAACTTCTTTTGAAATGTGGTACCCAGAGGCCTATTGTCATGCTCTTTACTTAAAGGGAGCCTCTGCTCCCAGCATACACAGCAAACTCGGCTCAAATAACAGAGTTTGGAAAAAGCCAATTATTTCACTGGGCAATATTACTTTTTGGCTTCAAATGAAGAGGGAAACTTCTTCTGGACAAAATATCTCTCAGATTACCCATTGTGAGAAATGGGTTACAAACATTTGAAGAGTTTCTGAAAGTTGTTTATGTGTAGTTATGACTGAGAAGTTTCAATCTCTGTTGTGTTAATAAGAAATTAATTTGGGAGAAGAGGAAAAACTACTTTCTGTTTGATCCATTTAGAAAAAAGTTGCTTCTGTGATTTTGATTTTAATAATAGTATTTTCCAACACATTTAATGTGAATACTAGAAGACTGACTTTAAAAGTTGATCAGAGTGCTTAAACATGATCACAAATGGGAACTACAGCTGTAGTTGCACTTTGAAGGGTAGTGGCAAGAGAAGTAACAACACAAATGCACATGAAATTCAGAGGAACTAACAGCTCATCATGCACCGAACAAGGCATTATTGAGCAAAGCTACTCACAGGTATTTGCAGTGCCTTTGGGGATGGGAAGATATGAGCCTGGACTCCAAGGTCGGCCCTGATAGTTCTTCTTGCATTTCCCACAGTCTGGACCTGTAGTGTTGTGCTCACATTCACATGTCAGTTTGCTGTTGTCATACACACACACAGTGGCATGGAGGTTACACTTGCACCTAGGTAGAGGAGAGACAAAGTGTCACTGTCAGTCAAATTGGTCTCAGTGGTCTAGGGTTCCAGTAATGCTAAGGTTGTGGCTCTCAAACCTTACAGTGCTTTGGTGTAACAGAGACATTTGGGGAAAATGCACTTGTGTAGACCTAGCCCCCGAGGCTTCTCAACAAGTGTCTTTTGTGGAGAGAGGGGACCAGGCAGGTGGTTATAACGATGAAGTTTTTTTTTCACTGTACACTTTGAGGAAGCCTAATAGTACAGCAGTGTGTTCCCTGGGGGCCCATGGCTCTCATCTGACAGTTGTGCTTCTAATTCCAGAGGTTGCCAATAGTTACCCAACATCTTGCCACTAGTGAGAAGATTTTTTGTGATATTGCCCAATTGCATCTGAAGGTTATTGAAGAAATTAAAGGACAATTTTATTTTATTTCCTTCAGACCATCAGAACAATTTTTATTTTTTTGAAATAGAGATAACCATTAAAACAGCTTGCTGGTTTTATTCTACTGGTGTGATAGGTTGTAATCAGGTGTTTTCATTTAGGATGCTAAAAATGGCATTTCCTCAGATCAGAAGGGTTTTTCATGAAGACCTCCAGCTGATCTGAGGGGAAAAGAGACAGTAATCCTCAGATTTCTCACTCACTGCACATAAGGTCATCATAAAAGGCCCTCAGAAGCAAGCCAAGTAATTCTAATAAAAGACGCTTAGAATCCTAGAAAATAAAAACTCTATGTGTGGCAGAGGTTTGAAGTCATTAGCGATGGCTTTGCCTTTGCTGTCTGCAAATAAAGCTGTGATATATGAGAGGCAACAATGGAATATGCAATTTCCACAAAAATGCTCCCTCATATTCGAAGTCTGTGACTATAAAATTACAAAGGCCAACTTGATATTTGTTGAGGCAGCAGGTTATAAATTGTATTACGATAAGAATGGGCCACATCCTTTGGAAAAGGAAAAGTTGACCCAATGGCTATGACCAAAGATCAGGGTAATGTGTTTGGGAAGAGATGTGCCCATACAGAGTGCCCAGGCTGCAGGCTTCAGGGGTTAGGGGTGGAGAAGTGCTAGTATATTCTGGAGTCAGAACCTGAAAGATTGTGTGTGTGTGTGTGTGTGTGTGTGTGTGTGAAAATGAGTCTAGCCTCCTTCAGAAATTAGGACAAAAACAGACACTCAAGTTTCATAATGACTAGGAAACACTGTGGTGGTGATTTCCTCGCCCTTAAGGTCAGATGTCATGAGATGGGAAAAAATAACAGAATATTCATTCTAAGATGGCAAAATGAATTTTTCTTTAAACAATTGCAGTTCTTTTCTAGATATCTACCTAGCAGTAGCCAAATTCTTTTCTGACGAATACTTTGAACACTGGGCCAGAAGCCTTTCTGGGAAGACTAAGCCTTGGCTTCCTTAGGATTTTTCTATAGTTTGTGAAAGTACTGGTGACCCTCGACCCTCTGTGTATTTATAAACTGCAAAAAAATTACCATTAAAACAAGACTATTTAATTCCGTCATATAAATAGCACCTTTGAAAATTAGCATTTTCACACAATCTTTTAAATGGGGAGAAAGTAATTCAGTTCAATAGGCAATGTTTAATTATGAGCTAGATCCTATAAAGGTCTGCTCTATGTAGGAGAGTGCTAGTTTGTTTATTAAAGGACCTTTTTCCTTCCTGACATTAGCACTTTTATTTATGGGTGTTATTATACATATGGAAGATGTTTGAAACGTAAGTGATAGAAGCACCAGTTTATACTGAGTTAGCACCCTATCTGGTGTTAAAAATTCCAAATGAAGACATGAACAACATGACCCCAAAGAAGACCAAGAATGCAAATGGTAATTGTAAAATTGAATTGTATATTTTGTAACTATTAGTGCATTCATATTGGTAGCCACTTGCTGAGTTAACAAGCATTTTCCATTCTGAAGATATTACGTTAGCTGAGAAAATTTTTCTTTGAATAATAAAGGGAAGTGAAAAGGGAATAGATGAATCCTTTGGTATTATTTTTGTTCAGATTTCCTTCAGTGACTTGCTTGTTTTTACCTGCTTCATTCAAAGCTCAGGTCAATTCATAACCTTTCTCTAAAATCTATTCTGAGCACCATAGACACGTTGAGCTTATTTTTTCTGATTTCCTTAATTTCTTCTGTGTTTTTGGTTTGGTTAATTGCTACCAAAGGCTCTTTGTGCTATTAAATTGTTTTATTCATTGTTCTCTCCCTCTTATGGGGTGGCATCAATATTCATCTTGTACCCAATATTCTCCAGCTATCTCCTCGATACACAGCTTCCATCTCCATTTACTTATCTTATACTCTTCTCAACTAGAGATGCTCTCTTATGTCAAGATAATCTATGGGCTCCTTGTAGAGTACCCAATGGACGCTTTTCCTTGCATTATTTGACCTTCAGTGGCATTAACTCCGTGGACCACTCTATTTCCTCTGATTCTTTCTGCAGTGACACTCAAGCTCATTTTCAGGACCATCTTTTTGCCTTTTATCTACAGGTGCTATTCTTGGGTTCTGGTCCAGATATCTTCCTAGAAATTCTTATTTAGGTCATACCTTCATTTTCTTCCTGTAGTATTTAATGATTTTGGAATTCCAGACATTTTAAAGCAAATTTTCATCATCTTATTCTTCAACCATTAAATAAATATATGTACAATAAATTCAAATGTTTGATACCACTCTAGGAGATTCAGCAATTGTTTTTTAGTCATAGCAATTCATAGAACACACTACTGCCACTATCACCAGGTGAAAAATGTGTGATCAATATGTTAACAAGTCCTACATTTGTATCTCAATCACATCTCCCTCTCTTGGGCTTCACATTTATTCATCAAGATGCCTCCTGGGCACATCATACTCAAAGTATCCAAACTGAGTTCTGTTCCTTCCACTGCTTCTATTGTGTTTCTGCCTCAGGAAATTCTGTCTTGTAAAATGTGCCACCTTCTAGCTAGTTTGCAAAGAATGACTCCTCCATTTCCCTTTCCTGCTACATCTAACCTGCCATTACTCAAGCTGTGATGAGGTCCTGAGATTTCTATTTTTTGTCTTACCGATTTGTCCAGTCCAGTGAAGACTACTTCTTCGGTTGCGATCGTCATCACTTTAATCTGACCTATCACAACAGCTTTTAAGCAGCGGTTATTGTTCCAGTCACACTCCTTTTTATCTAATCTAACAATCTTTTATGCAAATATGTCAGTGTCATTTCTACCTTAGACCTAGTGTAAGATTTCCTACTGTCCTTTCAGAGTCCTTTGTGGCATGGATTGCAAGTCTGTTTCCATTTTACCTTTTGTGTCTTCTCCAACCCCTAACTCTACACTTAGTTTTGTTATTTGTCTTCAGGTAATCATGTAAATTATTTCTTTTACCTATAACATTGTACTGTTTTCCTTCTGTCTCTTTTATCTGGGTAACCCTTTCCTTTAGTTGTGAACTTGGATATTTCAATGTCTGGGTCCTAGTTTATCTTTGAAAAAACATCTGAATTGAGCGAGTAGCTCAGTGACACAGCAGCATTTGCTTAGCACACAGATGCCCTGACTTCAACCGCCAGCCTTACAAAAATAAATAATTAAACAAATAAAAACATAAATATCTGCTGACCAACTATATGAATACTTTCCCACCTCTCCAGGATAAAGTTTCTGTGTATACCTGCAACACTGGACAAAGCTTATTACATAATGAAGCTGTACTCTTTCTAATAGAAATAAGCTCTATTTTAATTGCTTACTCATCTGTAACCTTGGAATATAGCTAAAAGGCAGAAGTCATATCCGTGTTGTTTTGTGCAATACCTCTGAGCTGAGTTAAAGGTGCTTGACATATAACTGGTACTCAGGAAATCTGATTAACCAAATGAATAACAAACAAATTGTTTCTACTGGTTTGGATTGGTATCAACTATGTCAGTACTCTTAGAAAATGTTTTACCACATCATGGAGCTTTGTAAGTATATTTTTAACCAGGTGACCAGTTATACAATTCCTTTTTCACACATTTTCTGTGCCTATAGCCCCTTAATATACATTTTCACATGGGTGCATGAGTAACCAAATGAATAATAAATCACTCCCTCAAAAGACTGTCATGTGCATGTTCTACTATGTCTAATGATAAATCCCACAGCCTATGCTGTTTTCTAAAAACTGTCCCATGTCCTCTTCATTGGTTTGCATAACTAACTTCATGTTGACAAAAGGGAGTTCTATAAAATTTTTGAGATCTTGTAAACCAAATTTAATTTAATTTAAACTCCAGAGAATTTAGCAGATGACTGAAATCTAATGCAAGAGCTATCCCAAAGAAATCCTAAAAATCCCAGGAAAAGAACACTGCCCAAGGAAGAGGAAAAACAAAGCATTGTACAGCATAATCATTCTGAAGTGTGTATCTTTTAGCCTCAACTATTCATGCAAAGATGATAGGTAGGCTGACATTTAGGGGAGCATTGTGTGGGCACTGCCTAAAACTCTTACATCCCTAGCAGCAAATCTGCAGGCCTAGTGCAGCTTTGAGGCTGTCTTTTCTCTGTCATCATGATAATGCTGTGCTGGAGCCAAGCATTTAAAGCGAATGCTGAGGGACCACGACACTGGCCTGTATTTGAAAATAGTTCGTTTCATTTTCCACAGCTCAGTTTATTCTCATTGCTCCCATTCCAATCAGAAGCTAAAATTCTTTATTTAGAGCCCTTGCCAGAGTGATTTTTCCTCCGATGAGGACCAAAAAAAAAAAAAAAAAATGGATTTCTCAATGCTGGGAGATTGCTCTCAATTCGTGGTGTTGCGACCTCCAGCCTCATGATAGGTGAAGGGCAGATTTCTGTGACATCCCACTTGTCTCTGACAGATTTATTATTCATTCCCATGGCCATCCAGCTCTGATGTCTACTGTCACATCAGGTGGGGGAGGAACTATACAAGTGAGATAGGAAAGCCTTCACCAGCAGTCAGATTTT